AAGCCGTGTAACTAATAACATGGGTTAAACAATAAGATTTAACAGCCGCTGGGAAGAAGCATTTGCGGAAGTGCTTGTTTCTGCACCCTTGGGTATCACAGTCTTTCACCCATAATGTTTTCCAGCTCTGCAAGAGCTTCATCCATGGGGTGAAATCCATTTGTATTCTGCTATTAGGGTTGTCAAAAGTATTGATACTCAAAAAAGTATCACTACTGAAACGTTGTATCCGGATACAATATTCATTTTTAAAAGTATTGATACACTGCCACCACCAGTGGCACCTATGCAGTCATTCATCTAAAGTGCAAAATAGAGGAAAATTCACTTTCTGAACACTGTGTGATTGAATAATTCTGTGCACTTTTCAGTTTCAGACTTTTTTTCTGTAACAGGTGCAGCTCCTGAGAATTATTTTTGTTTCTTAACCGGTTTGGCTAGTGTCATTGTTATGTGTGCAAAGCATAGCCAAGGAAGGAATACTTAATTTTAATTTTATAAGTTTTTTATCAAGCTTGCTTAATATTGTGCACAGCATACAACCTTTATTGTATTTTATTTATTAATGAAAATATTTCTGTAGAATTTTGGAGTCTTTGTTTTTATTCTTGTGGTATCGAAAATGGTATTGAGTATTGAATATTTTCCTTAGTATCGGTATCGAGTTGAAAAGTTTAGTATCGTGGCAACCCTATCTGCTATACATACAAAGTTCAGGCATGAAACATGTTTATCACTCAACCAGCAATCAGTGGATGCATATTATACAAATACTTTAAAGGACAGATTATGAGATGGTGAGTCCCGAGCTAATCAGAGTGTACAAAAACAAATGGAGCAACGTATTTACTTTTGCTCTATTTGTAAATAAAGACCCAAAGGGGGTTGATGTTGTTTAGTCACGGAGAACATTGTGGCACCAAAATTAGTTTGGGGAAAAACACTTATTTGTTTCAATTTGAGACTAGTTTACTTTAGAGCCTCTGGGAGAAAAAGAAGCATTAAAAGTAAACTTTCAATTATTTCTTATTTTTTTCCTGTCAAGGTCAGAGCTGCAGAATCAATAAACCTCTTTCACTTCATCCTTGGAGTTTTGAGCTCCAGTGAACCACAGTTGAAGATATTATCTACAAATCTGTAAAACATGGAGTGGTGAACCTTTCTCAGAGTAACCAGGTTACGAAAATTACATGAAGAATGCATTGCTAACTAATCCATAGGATTATAACAAACCATAACTTCAGATGCCTCTATAAAAGTAAGTGTTTGAGATTTAATAGGTTTATGACCTTAAGCTAAAGAACTGTCAGTTACAATCTATAACTAATGGTTTTATAAATTATCCCCTCTGTCAGATAATCCTGAAGGAGAATTTTCAGCCATCATTTAATGAGCAATGGCTTAAGAAGGCTTTTGTTATAGCAAGATAATGCAAATAAAACCACAAATAGCTCTAAAAGCACAAGATTGAGTTTGGAAGTAATCCTGTTTGTCATGTTTGGTTTCAGGTTCCTAACCCACATGCAGAACACTCATCAGACAGGGAAAAAGTTCAAAGGTTTGTTGATAAGATTCTGTACAGAGAAATAAACAGATCCAGGGATTAGTCAGATCCAGGACTGGTCACGACTGGGTTCACTGCAGAGGGGGACAGAGGGGTTAGCAGAAGGTAATTTGCAGGATGTGAGAGTGCAGGTCTGTACCGGTTCTGGAGTTTGAGCAGAGTGGCAGAGGGGGGGAACCAGGAGGGTCCAGAGGCTGTAGGCAGGCTGAGGGCTTGGCGGAGGCAGAGCTTGGTTTGAATGCTTGCAGATCAAAGTTGCAGATCACAGTTTCCCTTCCAAATTCTTCAGAGAGACGGCAGGCAGGTCTTTGACAGGTTTGATTCTCCAGGGTTCTTCAGAGATCAGACAGACAGATTTCCAACAGAGAAACTCTTCAGGGTTTCTGGTTTCAGACAGGTTCAACCTGGGAAGCAGAGAAGACAAAACAGATCAGGTTCTGGTTCAGGTTTTCAGGGATTCAAAGATTCAGACAGGCAGGTTGGCTCAGGCTTGCTAACCATAACTGGCAAACACTCTGGCACTGAGTGAAGCTCTCCACCTCCTTAAGTAGGGACCTCTTGATGAGCAGATGGAAAACAGGTGTTGCAGGTGAGCACAAGCCCTGAGGAAGGGATCCTTGGCGCCCTCTGGTGGGCAAGCCTCCGCATCCCAACACTGTTAAGATCGAGATTGAAGACCTGATCAATCAATATGATCTTATCAAACTAACAAAAACAACACATGCAGGGTTTTTATTTAGAAAAATTTTTTAAAAACAGCGATACACAGTCAGATTCAGGGCCTGAAGTTCACTTTCTTTTGACCACAAGCCTCAGTGGATTTTAATCAACTAACTTTACGCCTAAAAAAAAAGGTAAGCAACTCAGAAAATGCTTTAAAAATGTGAACTTCTACAGAATACACATTAAAGTGTTGTTTCGTTATTAACCAACTTTATCCCATCTGTTACTAGGCCTACATAATGACTAGGGGTGTGAGAAAAAATATATCTGGCGACATATCGTGATTTTCAGCTTCCTGTCATAATATTGATCTTTCAGTTCCTAATATCGATTAAATAAAACAAACATTTAACCTAAAACAAAGGGAAAATTCGCTGCCTCTGCACCGCCAATCTGGCAGATGGCGCTGCAGAGCCCTTTTGCTGTGCAGCGCGGCGGCATATCTATAGCTGTGGCAGTCACAGTGGAAGACTTTAATTGACTCAAACGACACGGATACCAAAATAACTAAAGGATCAATATCTTCTGATGAACATATACAAAATTTGGTTTTATTTACTTTTTTTTCTGCTTCGCTTTTTATCTTAAAGTTTGCTTGAAGACTACAAACGAAAAATTGAACTATTTGACCTTAAACCCTTTAGATAAAGGGTTTAAAGCTGATATTTATCTTTACATGTAAACCTAACATACCCTTTGTGGATATTACTTATTTATTTGTTTGTTTGTTTATTGTCAAAAACATAATTGAAAGCATATAACCGCTGATCATGCCACACTTTCAATCATTAAATACCAACTGCAGCAGGTTACTGGTCTCTATCAGGTCTGAGAGAAAGAAAGAAATTTAAGCCACACGTTGAGTTCTAGGGGTTTTCACTTTTTCTGTTTTGCCGCAGCCTGGTCTCAATATCACAAGGAGTATGGATGATATTCTGTAGTGGAGCACCGATCCTCTTGAATTTCCTTAATAGCTTTTATATTATCAGAAGCACTTTAACTCAGAATTCAAATTTGAAACACCGCTGGTGGTTTGATTACTTCCAGACCTGCAGATGCAGGAAAAATCAGTCCTCTGTGGCTACATGTTCATCCAGAACGGAGTGTTCTACAAGTAAATGACTTGATCTTGTGGGTTTCCTTAAATAGGGAGAAAAATTTGAATCTGTATTATGCGATCTTTGTAAAACTCTTTATGCTTGTGTTGTAAATATGAGCTATTTACAACACAAGCATAAACCAAACTAACTGTGATGTTTCTGTTTTTATTATTTTTCCAACTTCAAGCCCAGATCCGTTTTAGAAACTGTTAAAATGCTTGTAGTTCCAACCATGTTGTGTTCTGTTCTCTTCACTTACATTATTCTTCTCTTCTTTATTACAATTACAAACAAGGAGCTGATATACAGATTAGTTTATGTTATTTAGCCTCTTATATAAACTTTTGTCTTTGCCTAAGGAGGTAACAATGCTGCCTCTGAATATATTTGTGAAAAGAAAACACGGGTATTATGAAAGAAAAAATAATAAAAACAGAATCTTAGATTTGATGTTATAAGGGGTTTTACGGATATTGGTCTTTTCTTACATTAATATCAGGAAAAACGTTTCTATGAGCTGCAGACCAGCCCTCTTGTTCTCATATTCAGTGCCAAAAACATTGTTCAGTGTTTGGAGAATTTCCAAAACAAAATGGGTTATAAAATAAATTGTTTCATCTATTCATCTACCTGTGACCTTCCTACAGCTCTCTCATTTTTTAGTATAGGACTATAGATGTTAAATAAATAAGTAAAATTACTAGGGATGCATGATATAATCGGCCCCCTATCGGTATCGGCCTTAAAACTGAATATCGGACATCGGCCACCCCATCGATATTTAACCCGATATTTGATCAGCTTCTGAGTTTCTAAAGTCTAAAATAAAAAAAAATACTACTTCTTCTTCCTCAAAAACTTCTTTTTTACAGACTTAAAAACTTCAATATCTTCATATGCTGATATATTGCCATTTAAAAACACCATATCAATCTGTTTTACTTATGAAATATTGCTATATGTCATCATTATGCTACGAAATCCCCCGAAAATTCACAAAATGTTGCCATATTTTTATATGTTGATATATTGACGCAGTATCGATCTATTTTACTAACAAAATCTCACAAGAATTTGCAAAATATCACGAGAGTTTGTAACAGAACGATGAAATTTCACGAGATTTTGAAAGTAAAATAGATCGATACCGCGTTTTTAAAAATCAATTAGATATCAGCATATGAAAATATATTAGAGTATATTATTTTTCAAAGTGTCAGAAATGGATAACAAAACTGCTATTTTCAATGACTACTTATTTTTGTCCAGCTTTAACATCAGTATCGATATCGGTTATCGGCTACATGAGTTTTAAAATATTGGCATATCGGATATCGGCCAAAATCCCAATATTGTGCATCCCTAAAAATTAAATTTATGTAAATCCTGGTTTGTCGAGTCGGTGACAGGAATTTTAACATAAATAGAAGAATTACTGAATTTAATATATATGAAGTTATAAACTCCTAGTTATTTTCTGAAAATAATAAGTTTCTTAAATATTTCTTTAAAAAAAAATGTTTGAAATAATTAAATGTATATAAATCAATACGATTTCAAACTGTATAAATTTGGTTTAGAAGCAACTGAGCTCATCTTCATATCTTTAGCAGGTGTCTGAGGATTCCCCTCTTCTGCTGAGCTCTCCCATCATTGAAGCTTCAGCAGCAGCCCAGGCACCGGCGGAGGCGTCCTGTTCTGCAGAGCATCAAGTCCAGTTTCTTCAGAAACAGTTGCAGCTGCAGGCACAACAAGCCCTGGCAGCTTCAGCACAGGTACATCCTTTCCTTTCATCTGTAATTTTTTTTTTTTGTGGTGTCTGTTACCCTGCTGGGCCTGCATGTAAGGTACTAATTCAAAGCATAAATACAAAAAAAAGTTAAAATATAAATGCAGTTGTGATTCCCATTTTTGCAAAAATTGTTTTTAACAGATTTATTTATTCCTGTCCAGATCTGAGTACATGTGAATCTTTGCATGGTATTTTTTTTTTGTAAACATCCGTCATAGCTTTGCTGTCTGTAATCACACATACAGCCATATTTTCACATCCAACTTTCATATATCAACGTTTGCTAAGCCGTTTTATGGTTCATGCAGATTATTTCCTGAGTCAAATCTGGGTTTTTTGTACAGAATCTGAGCTTTTCCTGCCCATTAAAATCACATTTAGTGTGAGAGAAAAGCAGCTGTAGCTCTCTGGTCTCTCTCTGTGTGGCAGGTGAGCCCAGCTGAGCTTACAGTCTTGTTTTGCAGAGGGCTCCTGTAGCAGCGGAGATTTACGCACTCGTTGCTAGGTTTGGGCACTTTAAAACAAGCTTAACACTTCAGTGACGTGCTTCCGATTTAACTGCCAGAACGACCTAAGATGAAGCTGCAAAGGTTGAGTCAGATCTATGTTTAGAAACAAAAGATAAAGCTGTGAGTGTTTTAGGTGATGGTTATCCAAACATGACCTATATAAACTGGATGGCATTGGGTAGCTAAGTGGTTGAAGGCAGCACCGGATATCACAAAGACATCTGTCTATAACACCAGTTAGGGAAAAAAAACTTTCTGTCAGGAAAAGGAAAGACTGGAGAGACCGAAGAATCTTTATTTTCAATGGGGTTAAGTTTTTTTATTGAAGTAATGTAGTTTGGGATCTGAACACCATGAAGAGCTACAAAGCCTTCATTCTTTGTCTTGGTATCTGCAAATGTCTTCACTTGATTTACTTTGGACAATATTAGTGAATCTAACTACAAATCTTTGTTTGATTTCGATACAAAGATTCAGACAGAAATCCAAATTCTTGCTAAATTTTGTTTGTCTTGTGTAGATTGTTAAACCTTTTTGCTGATTTCATTCAATTCAGTTTATCTGCATAGACCCACAGCCAAGATTATTATTATTGTTAACTAAGAATAAGAATGGGGCAGGGTTGGCCTCATGGTTAGAGCAGTGCACTTGTGCTCTGAGAAGGTTGCAGGTTCAATCCCCACAGCCTGCGCTCTGAGTTCCTGAGCAAAACCCTTAACACCACACTGCTCCCCTGTAATGAAACTGTAATAAGACTTTTTTTTAAACAAACTAAAAAAAATGTATTTAAGGGAGAATGTGCTTAGTTTTTGTTTGTATCTTCAAATTAACCCTTTAAAGCCAAGCGTATCATATTTGATGCAGGAGATTTTGAAACCTCTGCATCATCAGTGTGATGTTTTTGTTCTTGAAACCTGGACTTACATAAACAGACACATGTAGTGGACAGAAAACATATAAAAGATTATATAGAAATGCGTAATATATCAAAATTGATGCAAATAAATGATGTAATTTAATGTTTTTACAAAATTTATATAGTTATTTCCTTTGTCACAAAGTTCAATGACAATGAAAATTAGAATCTTCCGTCAATTATTTTCTAGTTCAGGCTTTAAAGGGACAATGCATTAATTGGGGAGTGGTGGCCTAGTGGTTAGGAGTTAGCAGTCAACAATGCAGGAGTTGGCAGTCAATTCCTGCACACTCTGAGTCCCTGAGCAAGACCCTTAGCCCCCACACTGCTCCCCGGGCATGGCAGCCCACTGCTCCCCAAGAGGATGGGTTAAGTGCAGAGAGTGAATTTCTTCAGTGTGGGATTAATTAAGTTAAATTGTGTATTTTACTAACTATTGTTACTAATGTTAGGTCTAGTTCCCAGTTATTATTTTCGCTTTTTTTTTTATTGTACCACATTATGCCATCAGATGGCAGAACGGCAGTCGGGTAATTTTGTGTTGCTACATCGGTCTGTCCTTATCTGAGATTTTCTTTCTTTTTTTTTTATTTCTATCCTGCCCCTATATGTAAATCTTATTTCATAACAGACTAAAACTATAATTAAAACTATTAAAAAACTAAACTAAACTAGCTAGCAAATACTAAAAACAAATGAAATAGAAAATCAGAAGCCAAATAAAATGAAAACCTATAACATTTCAAAAGTATTTAAACCTTGTTCACAATATGTCTTATCTCAAGTGACTGATACAGACATTTTAAGGCAGAAGCGATACCAGTTATTTGACATTGATCTAACCATTCCTCGACATGTGGAGCCGATAAATTAAATGGTTATATCGATTATTCAGAAAATGCCATGCACAGATTCCCAGGCCAGTAGCCTGCACTCAGATCACAACTGCACAAAATAAAACTCTTCAAATCTATTCTGAAAGAATGAGAATCAGAGCTGCATTTATGTTTAAAATTAAACCCATTAAATCATGTTCTGCATTTTTGTTTTTTTTTTGTTTTACTGTAATAATCCCAGAGGGAAATTACTTCTCTGCATTTAACCCATCCCCTTGGGGAGCAGTGAGCTGCCATTGTGCGGCGCCCCAGGAGCAGTTTTGGGTTAAGGGTCTTGCTCAGGGACCCAGAGTGGCAGTGGGGGATCAAACTCACAATTTCAGGATTCAAAGCCCTATGCCCTAACCACTAGGCCACCACAATTCATACTTGCAGCCAAACATTTGATTTAGAAACATTAGACTGCTCTTCAGTGCTTTTGTAACGGAGGATTATCAGCCAGCAGGAAGAAACAAAAGCTCAAAAACAATTTTCTTTATTCCATTAAAATAAGACTCAAACATCAATACGCAATGTCAAGATTAAAGCACATATTTTTATTTCTTCACTGCATAGGTAATAGATTAGTTAGTTTGCCATTTAGGGCCACAGGCAAACATCAACTATAAAAACAGTTAACGTATCTTTACAACTGAGATGTTCCCAAGAGGAATGGTGGAGAATAAGTCAGTCAGTAAGTCTTAATCTTATGTTAAAGGGTGAGAAATTCAATCTGTGTGTGCACTTTGCTTTATTCCTTAAATGCCATCTTTTTAGCGAAAAGCCACAAATCAAAAGGAAATCTTTTAATGTTTTTGTGTACCCAGGTTCACGTCCTCCAGGAGCAGCTGTCGGTGGAGATGTGTGCACGCACCGAAGCCCAGGCCAGAGTCCAGAGGCTGCTGCAGCAGAACACAGACCTTCTGCAACACATTTCCCTGCTGGTCAAACAGATCCAGGAGCTTGAACTCAAATCTACAGGACAACTAACATCTAGTGAGTGGTGATTAGCTTTGATCATCTGCTTATTTTATTTCCCATTTTGTTTGTTTTTTTCTCTGTAAGTCTTCAAACCCCTAACAGCCCCCCCTCCTGGTTTAATTTTCTCACCGACACCTCATCATCCCGTTATAGCTCCCTTTTATCATCCTCTGCTGGTATGCAATTAATTATCCCACGACAGACATGTCATGGAATCCAGTAAATATCTGTGTTTCCCTTCCCCTGCATCCATTCCGCAGCGATAAGCTACCATAAATTAATTACTTGTGAAACCCTGTCAGCGCTGTCACCGTCCCACTCTGCATATTTTCTTCGTCTCTCCTGAGAAGATTTATTGGTCTTGTTTTCCGTCTCTATGCAACTCATGCTGTGACTTGCAAAAGTATTTATACTTTAAAACTTTTTTTTATATGTCATCACTTTAAATTCAGTGTATTTCATGTGGATGATCTATAATAAACAAACTCACAGCAGGACTTCCAAATGAGGTGGAGGAATAAAAAACACTTGGTTTTAGAAACTTTAAAAAAAAAAAAAAAAGTTCACTGCTGGATTACTGTTGACTCTTTTACTTTGATGCCCCTAAATAAAATCCAGCACAGACTTAACCTTCAGAGGTTATGTTGGGTTCAAAAATGTAGGTTTTGTAAAATAAGAAATTGAGTCTACACAGGAAAGAGATTCAAGCAACTTCTGCAGGAGGGGAAAGAAAAAGCCCAACCCAACTTCAAGCTTTCTTTCTCCGAATCCCCTCCTGCAGCCGTTTTTTATTAACATAACACATGGTTACAAAACAGTATTTGTTCTGACAGAACAATCGGTCTCCGCCAAGTGACGTCAATTGTTTACCTCAGTCGCGGTACACTACGCCTTTTCCACCTAAAATGGCGTCTTAGCAACAAATGTCACGTGACTGGCGGAGACCGATTTTTATTAAATCCGCCCCTGTTTTCAGGCTTATGTTAACTGTAATGACTTATCTTGGACAGGCTGCTATGTAAACAGGCCTTTAGTCCTTCGTTTAGCTATGCTGCGGTTGTTTACACTACGCCTTTTCCACCTAAAATGGCGTCTTAGCAACAAATGTCACGTGACTGGCGGAGACCGATTGATCAGTTCATAAAGACAGGATGCTCCATCAGAATGACAAGGCAGGATGGTCTCCTGACTGAATCACAAGACAGGAGTGGAGCATCCCCTTGCACAAATGTTTCATAAGAATACATTAATTTTATAATCATCATTGAATAAACCTAACAGGTTACCTTATGATTAATTTAATCTCAGTATAAATCTGTCTGATTTAGGGCTGGTCATTAATTGCTTTTGCAATGTAACCGCAATTTAACAACATGGAATAGTCATTATAACATCAGAGCTGTTATAAAGTCCAGCTTTTTCCACTTAAGGCAGCTAGCCAAAATAAAACCCATTCTTTTAAAACAACGTTTTGAAACAGTGATCCATGCATTTGTGACCTCACGGCTGGATTATTGCAACTCAATTTCTACAGGGGGTCAGTGATTTGTATATTTCCCAACTTCAGAGGGTTTAAAATAGCCTCGTGAGACCATCCTGATCTCGCAAGCTTTCAAGGTTTCACTCGCAGATCAGTCTGGAGACTCTCTGTTAAAGAAAATTTGGAGCCGTTCACCAAACGAACATCCAATCAGCGTTGGCTTTGAGGCGGGTTGAGGTGTGACGCAACGAGAAGCGCGACTGTTCAGTCTAAAGAACATGGCGGCTTCAGCCGATGAAACTAGCGTTAGCGTGGCTATCGAGCAAGTTTTATCGGAATTACAGAGTATTTCTTCATTGAAAGAAGAGCAAAACACTGCTCTGGAAGCTTTTCTCAGAGGAAAAGATGTTTTTGCTCTTCTCCCGACTGGTTTCGGAAAGAGTTTGATCTATCAATTGGCTCCTTTTCGTCGTCGCTCTGTTAGTACGTCATATGCTTCGTTGATCTGATTGGTTTATTTGGCCCGTCTATCACCAACATAGGCCAATCAGCTAACCAGTATTTTCGCCCCTTCCCAAAATTACTTAAACGGAAGCTTTCCAGATGGATGTGTGGAGCAAATCCATCTGGCGGAGTCAGGTTAGGTTCAAAATGCTGCTGCACGTCTTTTAACAGGTACAGGAAAAAATTCAAGAACATTTTCCCTGTTTTAGCTTCCTTACACTGGCTGCCAGTACATTTTAGGATTGATTTTAAAATTCTTTTGTTTTTAAAACTCTTAATGGCCTTGCCCCTCCTTATCTGTCTGAGCTCTTGCTTTCTTACACACCCTCCCGTTCCCTCAGGTGCTTCATAAATAAAGTTGGTATGGTATGGTATGGTATGGTATGGTATGGTATGGTATGGTATGGTATGGTATGGTATGGTATGGTATGGTATGGTATGGTATGGTATGGTATGGTATAGTCAAAATTTTATGCAATTTACTAAAGCAAGACATTGTATACATGTATACTCCAGTCCTCTAGTTGGTGATAATATTCTTAAGTGGGTTTGTCACAAAACAGTGGGGAAAAGAGCATTGAAGCTAGCATGCAAAACCAAACCATGCAAATAGAAGTAAACACTTTTTACAGGAGGTTACAGTAGAGTCCTGTGCAGCATATACGTATGGTGTCAGAAGGTTTCCATTAACGAGGTGTTAAAAGAAAGTAAATAATGACACTGAGGCAGATATTTATATTTGGTTTTGGTACCATATATTATCTGGAAACAAGAACAACAAGAAACAAAAACAATTCCCAAAAATATTTGCAATCTGCAGAAAAAATTTTTTTTGATATAGAGCACTTTAGAAAAATTCAGTTCCGTAGACTCAGTAGTTCACAGAATTAGCAAAATACAGAAACAAATTCAGCAATAATCAAAGATGAATGATGCATACTACATCAGGATGAAGAGAACAATCTGTTGGATGCAAATAGTCCATAATCCAAGTTTTAGCAAATGGCCATCGGTAAGTGTGTGCATCTATAAATGACAGTGGAGGAGGACCTCTGCTTTGTTTACCTCCTCAGGAGGTAAACAAAGCTGCAGCCTCCTACCAGACCCTCAGGGTGAGGATGTTATGAGACAGGTTCTGTTCCAGGTAGTAGCTCGCCATCGATTGGTCCATAACTTTCCTCACTTGGCCAATTCCTGCAGATAATAGACACCGCGGCACCAGTTGCTTTTTAAAGACCACAGTAGTTGACACGTGTGCTGGTAAATGGTAAATGGCATGTACTTATATAGCGCCTTTATTCAAGTTAGGAGACTTGACCAAAGCGCTTTACACTACATTCATTCACCCATTCACACACACACTGATGGTGGCAAGCTACATTGTAGCCACAGCTGCCCTGGGGCTCACTGACAGAAGCGAGGCTGCCGTACACTGGTGCCACCGGGCCCTCTGACCACCATCAGTAGACAAAGCAGGTGAAGTGTCTTGCCCAAGGACACAACGACAATGAAAGTCGGAGTCGGGGTTTGAACCGTCAACCCTTCGATTTCAGGGCAAACTCCTACATTCAACGCCACTGTCGCACTGTCGTGTGCTGCTGCTCTGGTGGTTTCCCACTCAGCTTATAAACTGTGCTTGATTGGTAAGACTCAAGTGTGTCTTGTGGTCTGTTCAGGTGACTGGGAAAAATATGGGACCATGGAATTCTAACCTGTGTTACACCTGCAACAATGGACACTAGACAAGCAGGCTTGAGCAGGCCTAAAATTAAACATTTAGATTCTTGTGGTGCAAACACAAATCGATATAAAATCGTAACAGAGGTTTAAAGTAATTGCAATTTTGTTTTGACAAAATCGTTTAGCCCTCGTCTGATTTATTAGTTTCTGTTAGGGAACACTAGAGAACAGCATGCCATACCGTCACATGTTTATTTCTATAAAATATTAAAAACAAAACAGGTGAGTAAAGTTGTCAGGTCTAACACCTAAAACACTGTAAAACAAGGAAAGAAGGCACAGAGTCATCATTCTTTTTACTCGTGAGGAGAGTAGGAAGAGACCGTGCAGGTACATCTCCACCCCACTCTGCCGGTCTTCAGCTTTCTCCTCGCTATTTATTAAAGTCTGAGGGGGGGTCCCTAGTTACACAAGCTGAGGTTGCGCTAAAGGAATAGGAAACAAGAAATACAATTCAATTTGCAGCCCCAGTGAACAGGTCAATTTGCATTTAAATGTCCTGCGGTCAAATGGTCCGAGAACCTCCTGGTTTCGTTAAGCTTGAGCAATACTTCCTGAGAGTTGACCTATACTGCTTGTGCAACACCTCTCTGGAACAGTAATATGTCACGCATTATACATCATAAGAACACACATTAAGTATCTTATACATAATTATTCCAACAAAAGTGCTGCACGGCACGTAAAACTGAAGACACCAAATGCAGCACGATCAAATCACACTGCAAAAAATAGAAATATAAATAAGTATTCTTTTCTTAGAATAAGTAATTTTTTTCTTGAATGAGGAGGTAAGTGAGACACTTTGCGATTGGAACAAGACAATTTATATTTAAAAAAAAACAAAAACAATTGCTTTGTCTTATTTTAAGTGCATACTACCTAATTGTCTTATGTTAGGAGTAAAAATAATCATTCCATTGGCAAATCGTCTTATTAACCTACTAAAATTTATGGTAAATACTTAATTTAATTTTTACATTTAATTTAATTTTTTTTACTAATTTCTAGATTACTTTTGCAGTGCAGACTAAGCAGTATATTTTGTTAGTCTCGCATTATGTTGAAAGTAAATAACCACACGTCAGCAAATCTCTTTCTCTTTCCCTCCATAAGGTTCTGTTGGACCAGAATTCTGCAGCTTCCTTAATTACCAAAACCCCCTAATTTCATCACATCAATCCAGTCCTAAAGGAGCTTCACTGAAACCTCAGAATTTAGTTTAAAATCCTGTTAAACTCCTAGGTCATCCTTAATGCTGCTCCTCTCCTCCGTACCTCTCAGATCCATGTCATTGTGCTACAGTATCCCCTCCCTGATCCATAGCAATTCCACTTCTGTCCACCTTGTTCAGCCTCCTGCCCGCCTCATCGCCATCTTATTCAAAGCGTGATAATAATTTTTATTTAAGTGGAAAACTACTAATTTTATTGACAGATAATCTTAGTTACCTGGTCAAATTCAGGGCAAATACACTCAGTTCAAGAAATTATTACTTGTATTTAGATTACTTTTGCAGTCTGCTAGTCAGAAAATCTTTATTTGAGATTCTTTTGTCTTAAAACAAAAGCTTTTCGATCTATTTTTAATTGGCTGTTATACCTGAATCAAGATCATTGCCAGAATTGCGACTAAGAATGAGTTGTGTGCATCTTAAAACAAGAACATGGAAGTTTTAAAAAAAAAAGTGCTACATTTGAGTAGAACGACACTACTTTTAAGCATCTCAAACTTATTACAGGATCTAAAATTTCTTAACTTCAGCACATTTTTAGTCAAAATTCATTTTTGTGGCTAGTTTCAAGATTGCCTTTATCAAGTAAAATGTCTTATTTCTAGATATCTTGTTAAGCAAATTTTCACTTGTTCCATTGGCAGATTTGTTTTGCTTATTTCAAGCCAAAAACTCTCGTTTTAATTTTTTTTTACTTGTTTCTGGAGTGCTATTTTTTCCAGTGTGAGCAGAGCTTTCTCCCGCTCTGCCCCAATTCACTCCCTGATATGTGTAAAACTGATGCTTTACCTCTTGTTAAAAAAAGGCTCTGTGTATGCACCCTGATGCTCTATCTCTCTGGTTCTTTTCCCTGAAAAGACATCACTCAGACAAACTCTTTAAATAAAATTTCATAACTTATATGTATTAAATAACCGGGAGACATGACAACAGATTCTGATAGAAATTGTAATCTTACTCAGATCAGAGAAATTGCTTAGGGTTACAGAATGACAGCTGGTCACCTCTGGGCTCACCTCTCAGGAAGTTGCCCTGATTAACATTTAAAAAGGCATTTTAAACATCTCCAGTCTGCCACATCATCGTATTTTACATCAGACACATCAGCAGATGATTAGACATCCATGGCTCCAGCCTTATCAAAATATTACGCTTCGTTCTTAGCTGAAGGACATCGCTCTCATTCCATTTCCAAATCTTTGCCACGTACAGAATGAAGATTATAACTGTATATCTAGACAGAGGAACTGTCCTAATTAGATTAAAATGTTGGTTCTGACGCGCCACAGGCAGCCCATACCAGGATGTGATAAACTTACACATCTTCAATGATAATTATCCTAACACTCTGTTAAAGTCAAAGCTAAAAACTCCCCAGTATTAGATTGCATACCTCCACTGATTGTCCTGTCCCTGTTTCTTATACTCGTCTATTGGTGTTTTACATAAAATTTATTATTTTTGAGAATGTGTAAAAAAGTTAGTGATAAAAACTTTTGCAAAGTGCTGAATTTTACTCTTTTTATCTCTCATTTATGTTAAATCAGTGGGTTCCCAGGACAGTCTATTGGAGATCACTTTCCGTGCCAAGCCTCCCAGTGCACCCAGTGCATCAATGACCCGCTCCTCGTCTGCAGGCCCATTGGCGGCTCCCTCCCAGCTCCAGATCAGTGATGGAGCCTGGTTCTCTGCTTTATCCGGGCCCTGCTCTCCAAACACCGCCGGCACCGACTCCATTCCTCTGGGACCGAGTGGCAGCGGAGTCCGACTCGAGTGCTTTCGTTTCTCCAACCTGGTTTCAGACAGCCTAGCCGGGGCACAGGACACAGGAGAGACCCCCAGTGATGAGAGCTCACTGCTGGGAGAGCAGGTCCTGGGGGCTCTGGAGCTGCTTCGTTTCAGGGAGTCGGGGATCGGGTCGGAGTACGAATCGAACACAGATGAAAGCGATGATCGTGACAGCTGGGGGCAGGGAGAAGGAGCGGGGGCAGATGGTTCTGCACGACTCCTAAATGTGTTGAATACAGAAAGCTTGCCAGATTGCTTAGGGGATGAGATGGCGGTTTAGTTGTGTTCTGATGTCAGTTCGAGGCAAACTAAACATATGCACCTCCTCAGCGCAGAAACTGAAACTATGAAGAAGAACCCATCTGCATTCTCAGTCATCTGCAGCTATAAGGTAACTATTTAGGCAGATATATGTTTTCTCCAGTTGACTTATTTCTGTAATGTACATTATTCATTAAATGTACCTTATTTTTAAATATTTTTAAGTTTCCTTGCAAAGCAAAAAAAAAGAGTGAAGAATTATACTACTAAAATAAATCCAAGATCCTTTCTGCTGTCACTTATTAGGCAACATTCTCTGAAGCATATGGAGTGAATTCTGTACCATATTTATCGCAAGCAAGGAACATGTTTTTGAAATGGAAATTTGACAAAAAACTAAATAAAAAAAAAGGTTTTAAGAGTAACTTTAGACTATAACTTTTTTTCTGGTTAGTTTTTTTCTCCCTTTTTCATATTTTATTTGTTTTTACAGATTTTATATTTTTGCTTTTAATTTTGAGCTTTTTCATATAAAGTTTTTGAAATTGCATTATTTTCATAATTTGCATTCTCCTCCATTCTAGGGTTTGTGGGGTTTTATGGAGTGAAAATGCATTTCTATTTGGTTTTTATTGACCTATAAGTAAAGTGAATATAATCTGTAAACACAATGGGAAAAGAATGTAGTTAGAAAAACTCTCTCTGAAAAATAAATATTTGAAAACATTAGTTGGAAAATATAGAATCTGCAAAAAAATAAAAAGGGAAAAAAAAGTTTAGCGAAAATACAATTTGAGGAATTTAAATATGAAAAGAAATTGGAAAAAAGAATCTAAGAAAAAGTCCAAAATTAGTCTTAAAACCTTTTTCTTTTAAGAGGTTTTGAAAGTTTTTTTTTCAATGTTCCATTTACAAAATTAATTCTTAGCTTACAACAATATTGAAACAACATTGAGTCCATAGAAACTGCTCAGCTGTTTAAAAAACTATAATCAGCCTCTTCTACATTTGGTTGTTTAACTGGTTTTGAATCAAATTTAAGAGAGCATGTTCTAATAGAAAACATTCATCCATTTTTTTTAATCGTTTTTTATGAGCCATCCTAATTAAGAAAAAAACTAATTCATCCTAAATAAATTGTTACATTTTTTGTTTTTTTAGTTCCATTAATCTTTCTTATGAATTCAAAGCTGTTGTCACACAGTTTCTGATTTGTACACATTGAAAAAAAAAAGTCAAGAAACAACGGGGCTTATGTGTAACACAGTCCTTGATGTCTTTGAAATTGTGTGTAATGTTTGGTGTGCTCCTGTTTTAAAGATCTTGGGCACTGGGATCAAGAGTGTGGAATCAACAGTGTTCGTCTGTTTTAGTGGGATATTTTACTTCATTTTACAGTCATAATGACGGTTCAACGTGTTGGACCAGATTCCAATGCTACAGGAATACCCACAAGTTATCAGCTAACTCTTTATATTTGTTATTTTCAACACAATAAATCAGAAAAATGTAAAGCGATTGGTTTTATTTTCAAGCATCAGTCATGCTGAGGTGAGTTTGTCTACATCAGGGCAGAAAGTCATAGTGCAATGGTGGTGAAACTGGTGGGGCCCCCTTCTCTGGGGGGGCTCTCGGGGAACGGGGGTGCCTATTGGAGTCAGCGGGGGAGCTGGCTCCCTGGGAGTGCAGCAAGCACCCCAGTCCTTTGCTCCCCATCCCCGAAATCCTCCCTCTGCCTGCTCCATCACTCTGCCACACATGTAGGTTTTTGGGGAGGGGGTCGTTACTGGAGGGCCACACCTTCTGATGACGTCCCCCACACCAATTTTATTTTGCATTTTAGACACTTCCATCTACATCATTTTCACAACACACATCTATGTAGGGCATTTTCGGGGGGTGGGGGTCAGGGCCACAGGGGGGGGGGCTTATTTTATGGGCCTCACCACGGTCGGCCTCCTCCATCCCCTCTCGCATCTAGACATTGAGGGTTGAGGGTTGTCGAAGGGGGGGGTGTGCTGGCACCGTCTATCTCCTGGAGGGGGGGTGGAGTGTGCCGGACACCCCCTCTTGGTACTCCCAGTTTTAATTGCATCTGAGAGCAACACGCAACAACACCACATCCGAGTGGGCGCAGGGAGGATCGGGGTCTTCTCACACCCCTGTTCTCCGGCTGCCGCCTGGAGTCTGGGGCCTGGAGGAAGAGCGGGCCGCCTGGTCCGTGGTTTTGGCTGGGGCTGGCTGCGGGGCCTAGGTGGCCTGCTGGTGGCGGGGCTGTCACCTCTGCTCTCCCCAAAGAAGGTTGGATGGAGGGGCATGAAGTGCCTGGTTGAAGGTTTTTTTTTTTTTTTTTTTTTTTTTTCTGTTCGGGGGGGGGGGGCGGTTCTGGTTGGGTGGCCGGCGCGGGATGGGTGGGCCCCGGTCCCGGGGGGGGCTCTTGCTGGGAGTGGTCCGGTCCGTGTGCGGGGTGGGGGGCCGGGCTTGAAGCAGGAAAGAGATGGGTTGGTGTGGCGGGTGTCGCCGCTCCCCTCCCCTCACATCCGGATTTTAGGTTCACTTATGGGGTCATCCGATAGTCCCGGGACCGACCACCGGTGTCACCGGGTTTTTGGTCCTGGTATTATTGGATGTGAGTGTTATGTGTGAATGTGTGGGGGGAGCTGCACGGCATGGTGGGGTGCGGGTCTTGGGTCCTGTTTTGGGCTCCGGTTTTTCCGCTCGCACTTCTCCTCTTGCCTATTTATTTTAATTGTAATAATAAATTAATTAATTAATTTACCTATTTATTTATGTTTTGTTTTCTCTTCCTCGGTGGGGGGGAGCGGTTGCGGGCGGGTCGGTGTCTGGTGTCCGCTGTCGCATTGTGGGGGCATTGTTTTTTTTTTTTTTTTTTTTTTTTTTTCTTCTTCCTTTGGGGGGTTTGGCATGTCTGTTTTCTCGGGGGGCGGGCGGGCCTGCTGGGTGGGGGTCCTGCTGGCGGCGCGCCGCTGGTGTGTGGGGGTCCGGGCGGCTCCGGCGGGGGTAGTGTTGGGGGGCCGGTCTGGGTGGGCTGGCTGCGCTGGCTAGGTATTCGGGTGGGTTTTCCCTCCTGGAGGCATGGCGGGGCTGCTCTGTTCCCGCTGATCGCGGCGGGTGGGGCTGCGGGGCGGGTGGGGGCCTGGAGTGGCTATGGCCGGCGCGTGGTGGGGGGCCGGGGCGGCGGAGCTGCTCTGGCCGCGTGTCAGGGCCTGGTGCGTGGCTGGGCTGCTTTGGCTTCGTCCGGTGGGGGGGCGGCGCGGTTCGCTCCGCTCTGGCTTTGTGCTGCCCCTCGGGCTGCTGGGGGGGGTGGTTGCGCCGGCTGCGGTCTGCTCTTCTTGCGGTTTTGCGCCGGGCGGCTTTTCTGCTCTCGGGCTGATTCTGTGCGCGGTGTGTTTCGTTGCGCGCTGTTGGCATCGGTCTTGGTGGGGTGGGGCTGCGCTTTTGGCCGGGGGGGCGTTTTGGGGGGGTCCGCGGCGCTCGCGGCCGGTTCGCGGCGGATGCGCATGGGCCCCGGCCGGGGGCGGGGCCGCCTGAGTGTTTTCCTGGGTGGTGCGGTCGCGGTGGGTGTTGCGGCCGGTCGCCGGGGCTTGGTGCTGGGGGGCGGGGCGTGTTTCGGTGCTCTGTGGGGCTGGGGCGTTTCGGTCGGCGCCGTGGGGGGGCTGGTGTTCGGTGCCCGGCCCTACTTCGGGGTGGCCGGCTGCCGGCGGGGCCCGCGGACTCGTCCCCGCGGCTCCCCGGGGCGCCGGCATGGCGGTGGCTGGGGGGCTTCTTCGTGGCTGTCTCTCCTCCTGCCTTGGTGGGGTCTGGTTTCCGGGGCTGGCCCCGCCTTGGTGCCTTCGCTTCTGGGGTCCCCTTGGGCGCCTGGGGCTTTGGGTCTCCCGGCGCTGGACTCAGTGCTCTGGGGGGTGTGCCTCTCCGGCTCTCCACAACCACTATTGAGCATTTTTTCTATGGTTAAAACTTTACATGCACAAGTTCACCCTCACAAACAACTACAGATGCTAGGCTTCAGGTACTTAGAGATTCACTTCCAAACAGAAACCCCACATTCATATCTTCAGGTAACACAGAGTACATGTCAGACTTAATAATATTACGTTAGCGATAGTTTCAAGGTGTTTGCTTTATTGTATATCTCGTACCATGTTTTTTGGTTGTGCTGTTCTTTTTTTTTTTTTTTTTTCCATCTCATTACAGGTGTTGAAGCAGACTGAAAATGTTTTGTCATTGTCTCCTTCCTATCTCCTCTTTCTTTTATCTTTTGTCCTGTTTTTTTCTTTTTCTTTTTCCTTCTTCTTCTTCTGTTTTTCTGCTCTACTTACATTGCAGTGTCCATATGAACTGTAAAACTCCCTGCATAATTATAATAAAGCAATTTATATACATGAAACAAGTGGAGCAGTATGGCAATTGCCATACCGCTACACTTGTGAAAGTAAAATCTGTTGGGCTCCTTTTGGCATCAAGACAATTATTCTTATTGCCACCTTGCCAGACAGGACACTGTAAAAAAAAAAAAAACAAAAAAAAAAAAAAAAGTCATAGTGCAGCATAAGATTCAATAAATTTGTGTGCCATTCTGGCAGTAATGCAGTAAACGTGGCAGCATTTAAACATTTAAAAGATCTGGGAATGTCTGGTTTGGTAGCTGATCAGATTGTGTGTGTTACAGTATAAATTCGACTTTAAACGGATGTGGAAGTGTTATTTTTATGTAGAGTTAAAAGAAGCAGCCTTACAGGTATGCTACAGGTCTGTTAAACAGCCAGTGGGTGCTTTTTGTACGTTTGTTCTGTTGTTGTTTTTTATGTTGTTGTTTTTATGCCTCTTAGGATGCAGCCTCTTATTATTCATAGATTTGAACTTTATTAGTATAAAAGATGTTAGAAATGCTCCATTACTTTGTGGGAAGTAAGGTAGTAGTAACCTGACCATCTAGTAAACTAAATTCAGTTATTACTTCATCACTGCAGACAAAGCGTCTGCATGATTTAGTATGAGTTTAAGTAATGTTATTGTTGAACCATTTTTGCAACTTTTGAGTTGTTCTTCCACAGTTTTTAGCATCGTAGCATATACTCTATGTGAGATAAAACTGGTGTTTATAAGTTCTGACTCTAATGCTGGATCTCTGTTTATCTTAAGGCCAGAACACACCGAATCTAATTTTGTCTCCGATCTTACAGAAAATG